CAAAAACACTTTGAATTTTTGTTCAAATTTGCGCCAATTTTCGGCTATGTTGCAATCTAACACAAGGGGCTCAGGGCTGGAACTCTGTAACGGATAGCGATCAATATCTCTATCTCTAGTGGCGTCCCCTCTCTATTGATTTTGATAAGAGAGAAGAAGACAGCAAGTGCCATAGCGATAGGGATAACGATCTCTATCCGTTACAGAGTTCCAGCCCTGGGGGCCTAAAATAGTTTCCATTTTCCAGCAACTATTCACTACTCACTAGGTTAGGTATTCCAGAACCACCACTACTAGTCACTAGCCAGTCAGAACCAACCTGACACCATGTTTGATTTGTTAATAACTATTAACATCAAATAAATAAAGGTTCAAAATCAAGATGTGTTTATAATAGTAGGAGAGCCGGCAATATTAACGGGTATGTGATCGTTACAATGGATAATTTTCACATAAAAGAATAGCTCATAGTTACCTTTAAACTAAATGGATGGGTGGCCTCGATTCTCATGACCGCAACCCTTTGATGGACGGGCGTAAACTACCCCTCTTTTTCCGAAGGAACAATGTTATCGTTGCAATAGCTGAAAATTGGTAGATATAGATATATTCTTTAATATGTCTTCTCAAATAATATATAGGGTGGCCTCGATTTTGATGGCCGGAAATGATGGCAACCCTCATTGAAAGTCGAGGGCACGCGTTATTTTGCTTGCTAAATAAAAATGTTTGAAAGTGACAGCCTTCAAAGTCACTTTCAAAGTTAAAAGAGAACTCTGTGAAGAGGATTTTGCATACAGCTGTAGTTCTTTAGACAAAAAAAAAACATGAAATTGTGTTAATAAAGTGTTTGCCGCATATGAGGGGAGCCCCCAACACCCACATCTTATTTGTTGCGCTTATGGTTCTTGAAGTATCTTTTTATAAAACAACTTTACGGCCATGAGAATCGAGGCCACCCATCCATTTGGTTTAAAGGTTACTATGAACTATTGTTTTATGTAGAAATTATCCATTGCAACGATCACATACCCGCTAGTATTGCCGGCTCTTGGACTATAATTAATTATTATAACTTGCAGCCGCGTTAAGGCCGCGTTAATGGCCGCCATGTTTAAACTGTGATTGGTTGATTTTTCGAAACTTGTTTTAAGGTCTTTAAAAAAACGGCACATCAGAATTGGCACAAATTTGGCATAAACATTATTTGATCGATTATCTACAAATCTTTATTTTGGTTTTTCGATATTCAGCCTTTTTTTTTTAATTCAAAAATCATGTTCGCAACTACCAAAACAATTAAATGTGTTGGTGGTTGCATATTTGCATGTTTATCAAGCTTGGATCCGTGAAAAGCATATTTTATTGATAACCACGAAAAATTAAAGAAAGCTAATTGTAGAGATTGTAGATAATATATCAAATAATATTTATGCCAAAGGATTTTGGAAATTATTGCAGATTTTTTGAGATGACCTTAAAACGAATTTTGAAGGTGAAAACAGTTCAAGCAATTTCAAGTAGATGGCGCCACGGCAAAAAAGCTACATTGGGAGCATCATAGTTGTATATTTGTCTTTCTCTGTCACTAAGTGTTTCACCGACAAACAGATTTTGTTCTGGACAAATAATAAAATATTGAACCCTATGTGTAGAGTGACGCAGTCGTCATTTTCCAAAACTAAATTTAAATATGGCGGCCATTAACGCGGACTTAATTAATCACACACGACCAATGAACTATAGTCAAAAACTGGAATGCGCACACATTGCCATATCTGCCAAAAAAATGTAGCCATGAAAGATAGACGCCACAAAGGGGAATGGTGTTTTTTTCTGTTGCTCGCTGACATATGACGTTTTGGAAAGTTTTGTCATAATTACCTTCACAGGTTTCATAATTGGAATACGTATTGGAAGCAATTTCCGCCATTTAACATAATGAGTGCGACAAAAACAGGTATCCCCTCCGCAGCAGCGGCACTAGGCTTCACGTTCGTCAATATGTGTTCGCATTCCAGTTTTTGGTTATAGTTCATTGCACACGACAGAAACTAACTGTCACCACTCACCTAACTTGTCATGTCAATGTCCACAGATGGTGAATCACAGAACATATCACCTCTAGAAAAGTATCTGCAATGTTATGTACCGGTTATGAATTACAGCGACATCGTTGACTGAAAATCCAACTAATCGAGCATTCTTGACAAAAAGGCGAATTGATTTTTTTCATATATTTTTATTATTTTTAAATAATTTTTAATGTTCAATTGCATTTGGTTTGCTGACTCCTTTTAGCTCTTTTCGCCTCATTTTTTTGAAAACTATGACTGGCAGGAAGTTTCCGATGTCGAACATAGTGCAAAAAGAGTTAGTAAGTTAGCAAGCGACACGCAGCTATAGGTAGATCGCAAAGTAAATACGAATAATAAATACAAATACGAACGAAACGAAACAAACGAGTAAATAAAAAGGTTTTTTTCAACCAAAACTTTTTGAATTTTCACTTTAACGCGCGTGGGGACCATAGTTTACAACAACACAATTTAAATTTAAAAATTCAAATTTTGACTTTTAAAATGACAAAATAAATGACAAAACCAACCAACACAAATCACTGTCCACACCACAGATACCTGTAAATTTCTCTTATCTCCCGACAGTGTCGCCATCGTTGACTAAAAACCTAACTAAAAACCTTCGTCGCGATTCTCCCATTTGAGATATTTTTCTATAGGTGATATGTTCTGTGTGGTGAATGTAGTGTGGGTTGCCTACCCTATATCATACATAGTTTGCCTGTGTTCTTAAAAATAAATAAAATCTATTTCCATCTACCGTTTAAAGGGCTGTAACTTCTCCAGGGAGCATCTCAGGGCATAATGTTCATAGGAACTTTTTTTCTTATTTTCATATTATGTAAAGTCTGTTTTTTTTTTAAAGATAAAAGTCAAAATGACATTATGTTGGCAATACAATGTAAAATTGTCAATGCTTACAAATTTTTCATGTAGAAAAGGCTTATGTTGCCAACATAGTAACATTTTCAACTTGGCGAATTATCTTTAAAAAAAAACAGACTTTAGTATGTAGTATCACCCCTCGAAGTCCGGTACTCTATTTTTTTACAGTTCGTTGGTTTTTTTTTTTCAAGTTCCCCTCTCATTAAATAATTTGAATTATTTTCCGTTTATAAATCTGTCTGTTACATAATTTACAGTGTGTTGGATTTTCGTGGTATGTAGACGTTTCAATTAAAATTGATGAAAATTTTTCTTGCCTCGACTAGGATTTGAACCCAGGACCCTCGCATATTCAGTGCAACGCTCTACCAACTGAGCTACCAAGACCTGTTTCATTTCTACCTTGTCGGTCAAGTTTTTCATCAATTTTAAGTTGTTAGTTGTAAAGACCCACGGCAACCTTTGGCGGTGATCGTTGGTATGGGAGTGAGTTAGAAGGTATAAGGGGAACACATTCGAAATAATTAGCTGTTTTGGAATCCATTATCCCTTCAATCACGGATGCGTCGTTCACATATAGTGATTTCAGCATGTATCGGGATCGGACGCCTAACCGTCAATATCAAGCCAATAATTTTTAAAATTTTTACAAGTTTTATCGTTCATTATTGTATAATTTACAGTGTATTGGATTTTCGTGTCATGCAGTCGTTTCAATTTCAGTTTTGATGAAAATTTTTTTCTTGCCTCGACTAGGATTTGAACCTAGGATCCTCGCATATCCAGTGCAACGCTCTACCAACTGAGCTACCAAAACATGTTTCATTTCTACCTTGTCGGTCAAGTCTTTCATCAATTTTAGGTTGTTAGTTGTGAAGACCAACGGCAACCTTCAGTTATTTATTTATTAAGTTTAACGAGTGGACAGCATACCGACATACCTTTTAAAGAAACTTCATTGATACAATTGAATTGTAAATTATATAGGCTTGATAATGATGGTTGGGCATTCTATCACGATGCCTGCTGATGTCGCTATATGTCGATGACACATCTGTGGTTGAAAGAATATTAGATTTCAACAGCTAGGGTACTTGCATGAAATATTAAATTGATTATTGTTTATTGCAAATTGCAGGAAATCGAAAAAAAAATCGATACGTATTTCTTTATTTTGTCCAAATCTGATTATTCCGAAAGTTATACAAATATTAAGTTTTGTATATATAGATATATTGAGCATGTGTGACGTAATAGGATATGAAAAATAGGTACATTTCAAAGCGTTGTATCTCAGTCAATGTTTGACTAACAAGAAAAAGAAAAAACACGTGTTGACCTATTTTTTATTGACTAATGCTATCAGCAATAACAAAAACTGATGCACGGGGCCTAAAATTTTACATCAACTTTGATTAATATCTGTATGCCACCAAATTCATTAACATACTGTTTATTGGTAAATATTGTTCCTACTGTTGGCTTGTTTGTATATGTAAACAACCACATGATGTGCAAGCATAGCGCTTGAAAAACCTCTTCTGCTCGAATATTCCGGATTTCGGTCTAAGACAAAAAAAATTATATACCTACAAAATTAATTGTAAAATAATTTATTTAAAAACGCGAAGTTAAAAGGGTTTTTTAGATGGATTAATCATTTATTCATAGTTTTTATATCAAATCCTCTTTTTGTTCAGTAACCTTAATATTTTAATTATAGAAAATCAATATTGTATGAGCATACCTGCCAAAAGCAAGTAGGTATCACAGAAAATTAAAATAAAGAAAAAACATTGATCTGCGCAAACAAACATAGAAAAGCAGTAACAACCTGTTTTCCTCCCCGAATCTCCCTTCGTATATATAAAGACCGGCTTTTTCTTTTTCCGGTACATTTTAACCTGTTGAACCCTATCGATGGATTTGCCACCATCTAGTCGATGTCGGTTCGTCTGTGACGTACAGAAATATCGGCGTCGACGCTCCAGAGCGCCGTTCCTGCGGCTCGGAGCTTCCTCTCTAGAGTTTATCTTTTACCGCCACCCTGCAAGTTTAGTTTCAAAATAATGGCGATAAAATACAACGATTTGATTGTGTCCTATTAGTTTTTAAGAATAAGGCGGTAAAATGTCCGGGTTTAGTCCTGCTAGTTGTTGGTTGACGCACAAAACTGTTGAACGCTGGACGAAGGCGGCGAAAGAACGGGCACTCGGTAGCAGGAATGGAAGCAACAGCAGGAATAACAGTTTAGAGGTGGGTGGTATGTTTATGTTTTGTGCGTTGATGGCGATAACGGCGGGAATTCTTTCATCAGAATGATTTCAATAAGCATATAAGTTTCTGGACATTAGCAGCTAGCTTCATAATTCATAAATTATTAAAATTATTGAAGTGGTGGATATGAAGATTATGTGTAATTCCTTTTTAGTCTAGCATAGATATTGACTGTTCTCCTGTGTTCTCACATCACCCGAGTATTATGTGCCTAGTAAAATAGAAATAATAATAATTCGCTTCTGGAGTTTTGAAGAAAAATCTGCTTGCCGCCTTGAATGTCTACCTTAATATTTTCAAAACATAGGATTTCAAATACCTAAACAGTTAGGAATTAATAAGTCGCGTCTCAGCGATTTATTTGAATACTTCCCTGTTTTGTTTATAGTCCTTTCTGAAATAAGTCCTTCTAATGATTGACAATTTTGTATTGTATCGAATACCAATTGCATAAAAGTCGAAGAAACTGTCCTTTGATTGGGCTTCCAGCTACTGATGAAGTGAATGCTTTAACCACATCAACAAATGCTAGGTAAACCAGGACTCAATCGGCTCTTATAGGTACTAGGTCAAAATCATACTTTCCTATTGTAAGAATCACATGAAACAAAAATTAGTCTAATCCTAGGTAGTTTACATGTAATGTGAGTTTTTTTCAAAATTTTTTTCTTTGTTTAATCCTGGACATATAAAAATTCAACTACATTTCTATAATATCTAACAAAAATTAAAAATTCCAATTTTTTCAAGTTGGAAAAGTATCGCCGCATGCCCGTGTAGACAGTAATTTCTACTTTACTTATATTATGACCTGTATCTACTAATCAATGAGTTGATTACCAGAAGTCCACTGATATGTGTAAATTGTTTAAAAATTACCCAAGAAATGAGTAACAGGTTCGAATACTAATTATAATATAGTGATTTTTTGAGCTTTTATTATTTTGTGCATTTTATTTTTCCTGAGCGTCGTAGTAAAAGAGTAGGTACGAGAAGAATATTTTCGCCCAATAAAAAATTGTGGTCTCAAAAGAGTAACTGGGTACGAATAGCATCAGTTCAATTAAGTCTATAGTACTGCACAACTCTGCTGCCATTTACCAAAATTAAACTTTTCGTCAACCCCGTACAATTTCAAAATCAGGACAAGGTCGTCTGTATCGATCGCGTCATCTCGATCGCTGAGTTTTCTCTGACGTCAGGGACCCCTATAACCAGCTAATAGTGCCCTTCTAATACTCCACGAAAAATAATTTGTGTAGAACGTAAACATATTTTGAAAATTTGATTTATTTTTTTCACATTCATTTTTGTATCAGGGGCAGTCTTTTGAGCCACTTTGTATTGGTGAATAATATAGGAAGCTGCAAGAAAGCAACAAGAAGCCGTAGTAATGTCTAAGTGCAAAAGGGTTTAATTATGTTTTTTTAGAAATTTTCCGTGATAATGGGGAGTTTTGTTGAGGGCCGAATTATTTATTGAAATAATTGTATGAAAAAATCTTACCAATTCATGAAGGCTACGAGTTTTGAAATAAGAAAAATGAGAAACCAAAAAACATAATAGGTATATAATGTCTCTATAAAAACTTGTAGAAAACTAACAAAATATCGCATTCCTACCAAATACCCTTATCTGCACATTATTTTCACAGGATTTTAACGTGTCCAAAGAGCAACTGAACATACAACCGCCACAAAATACTTCCCAGGCAATGACAGCTGAAATAATGAAAAGCCCTTTGGATTTGTGCTCGTCACCCCACGCGCTACAACATCAATCCGTATCGTACCCTGGTGGACCACCGCTTTTGTGCCGCACTCCCAGTGCTTCTAGTCAGAGCAGTTTGGACAGTAGTACTTCAAAACAGGTAGGTACGAACTTTTGTGCATGATGGAAAATATGTTTTTTTTCCCTAATATAATATACCTAATAATTATCTGCATTTTGCAGGGTAGCCACCGAGGTTCCTCTCCTCAGATTCGTACCTTCGCACCTGATGGCAAAGCTCAACAACCCTTTCCCCATTTTCATCACCACGAAGCCACCCACACTGTCAGTTACCCGTTGCATCGTGGCACCAGTCGGTCACCTTCACCCCATAGAGCTGCATCCTTGGACATACGATCTTCGTCACCTGGATTCAGTCATATTGCTAGTGCTGGCAGCGGATCTCCTTCACCTTCTCAAACGAGCTTGGCGTCTCTCACAGGAGGCTCGGGAAGTTCCTGTAATTCACCTGTACCTGCTAGCCCGAGAAATACGACATTTGCCAGGTTAGTGTAATGATCAGTTTTTACATTTCTAAAACCACTTAGTTAAGTACTTCTATACAGGTATTCCAGAACCACCACTTTTTATTACAATTGAAAAATAGTGAATATTCCTATGGTAGTACAATTATTGTACAATGTACCCTCTTCTAAAAAGGATACCCCATATTTCTTTACCCAAAAAAAAAAAAAAAACGCTGAAATACGTGTTAATTTAAAAGTAAAGTCACATATTATCTACCAATTTCCAGACCTATGGTTCTCGTTTTTGAGATAAAGAAAATCCTTTTGAAACTTCAACCCCTACTTTCACCCCCCTAGAGTTGAAATTTAAAAAAATCTCGCTGAGTGAATCCCTAAATTACAAAACCCAAACTATCCTCCAATTTTCATGTTTGTAGGTCAACTGGTATAAGTATTGGAGGTATATGGATCTTCGAAGCATAAAAACAGAAGTTCTAGCAGGATTACTTTTAGTAAAAATACGTCGGTCTTCAGAAACACGCTTCTACTTTTTATGTGACATGACAATTGGATGGTGATATAGAAAAAGGAACCAACCGCCAAATGGCTAAAAATGAGATTCTACGTTCAACACATTACTATAAAGGGATCCAACCACATCACCAATTTTTGCAAGGATACAATAAACCTAGCGACATCTATTAACTGAAATTTGTATATCGAAAATATCATTTCTCCTATATTTGTTTTGGAATAAAGAACCACAATTTAGTAGCGGAGCACCTGTGTAGCAGAACAAAAAACTACAAAATACCTGCCTTGAAATATCGAGAAGACTAAACATGTTAAAACTAGCGTTAGAGGAGCTATTTTTTAGTTCATAAGTTCTATTTTTTCTTGAATGAAGAACAGTTTGATTCGAGGATTTCGAGGTTTGATTACCCATTATAACTGTTTGTTTGGTTACCCATATTTTGAAATAAGGAACCAACCGACCATATTTTTAAAAATGAGAAATATTGATTTTTAAGTTACATAAGTTTTTAAATATGAAGCCTGGTATTTCAAAAACCTGCGAAAATCTATTTTCAGTAATAAATAAGACGAAATAGCTAAATTTTGCGGGAGCCAAGCGCATGGTTCTTTATTCAATTTTTTCATAAATCAGAAAAAAACAATTCTGAAAACAAATTTTCGTGCTTTTTTTTTAGGTTTCAAAGTATCTTGACAAATAACATATTCCTAGCAGTTGTTCTGCTTATTTTATAACTCCTCTGAAAATTTAGGAGTCCAAAGAAATTATCTATTTATTTTTTTTTTGAAAAAAGCAAAATATACGTTTTATGCCGTTTCTCGAAAATGGTCGTTTGGCGCCTGGTTCTAGTTTCTATATCACCATCCAATTACAATGTGAAAATTACTAAGTATGACATACTCAACGTCCAGCATTGTCAACTTTTATTTTGCTACAAAAGTAACGCTACCTATATGATAATAAACAAACTTAGGTTTACAGTCTACTCCATTGTAGAATTGATCATGTGGAAATTAATCCTCCCCTGATGATGGCGAAAGACATAAATACAAAACATTGAAAATCAGCAAGTTTCTATATTTTTATTTTATTTAAACAACGTTTAAACATTCCCTAAAAAATTTAAATTTTGAATTAGCCAACGGTTTGGTTAAAAAGTCTGCTTGCTATTTTTCAGTCGAAATATAATTTAAAATTACTCTTTCTTGGGTTTCACAAATTAAAAGAATATCATCAACATATATCAACACATAAGTTGAATCTCTGAAATAAAAACAAGGATCCTTTTTAGAACGTTGAAAGCCAAGTTTATTTAGAGTATTGTTAAATAAGAATTCCAACATTTTGGAGCTTGACGAAGCCCATATGAAGCTTTTTCCAATTTACAAACTGAATTTTTATTCTGAGTTTCAAATTTTAAACCGTCAGGTGGATACATGTAAACTGGCTCTTCCAACTTTCCGTTTAAAAATGGCAAATGCTGACTTAACATCTAGCTGACATATACAGAGTGGCAAAAAAGTCGCGCATAATACCTGTAACTTTTTATTTACCTCGTATACAAAAAAATGACCTTTATGAAAGTTACTCAGTAAATTATTTCCCACATTTCTACCTATGCGAACTGTTTCTGTCACTTCTGTGTAGTTTGCTATCCAGACCAACTTGGTTTTTTCAAATGAAACACCCTGTATGTGGCTGCATATTTAAATTCTACGTAAAATTCCGAGCAGATTTTATGTGATATAGGTACTCTATACCTAAGTTCAACTGTTTTGGAAATATTGACAGTTGAAAATTGACTTTTTTGCAACCTTGACAGGCTGTAAAACCTAAACGGTTAATTTTAAAGGAGAACCGATTTTACATTCCTGTCTTAAATTTCCATAAACTATCATTTGACACCAACTTTAAATTTAATCCATGATTGAAAATTCCAAATAAATTTAATCTCCGGTTAAATTAAGAGTTGGTGTCAAATGATAGTTTATGAAAATCTAAAACAAGAATGTAAGATCGGTTTTCCTCTAAAATTGACCATTTAGGTTTTAAAGCCTGTCAAAATTGCAAAAAAGTCAATTCACAACTCAATATTTCCAAAACAGTTGAGTTTAAGTGTGGGTATATCACATGAAATCTGCTCAGAATTTTATGTAGAATCTAAATATGCAATCACATACAGAGTGCTTCATTAGAAAAAACAGAGTTGAGTTAAGGTCACTTTTTCGTATACGAGGTAATTAAAAAGTTACAGGTATTACGCGCGACTTTTTTGCCACTCGCGCATACACATTTTAAGTCATCTCGCACTTTGTTTACAACGTCGTGTTACTAAACGTCCCTATTTCTTCACTTTTCCTTCCAAAAACTTTTCACTAAACACTCATCTCGAATCTATTACTTCAGTATTTTCTGCAGGCACTACCAATTGCCACGTTTCACTACCTTTTAATGCACTTAATTCTCCCATTAATCCTTTAGTGCATCCTTTCCAACCACAATCCATCTTCACAGGTTCCTGATAATTCTGCAGCACATCTGCAAAGAAATTTCACACAAATTCAAGTCATCATCGAGAACATAATTTTGTAAATGCCTTGGTTTCGCTCTATTTCTTGTACTTCTTCCTAAATTTACTTCATAACTTCCTTCTCACTTTCTGATTCTTCTGTCTCAAATAGTTGTTCTATTTTCTTATTTTGCATTGTTTTCAATTCTTACATTGTCACTCTCACGGGTATAATAGGGTATATTATTTTGATCGCATTCCCTCTTTATTACATTAAAAATCACATTCCCTGCATGAACCAACTTTCTTTCATTTATATCCCACAATCTATACCCATTGTCGGCATACCCAACCATAACCAATTTTTCTGATCGGGGGACCAATTTTGATTTTCTTATTTCTTTAGGTACAGGGTGGCCCGTTTAAGAGGGGCCTATACCTTATCTCGAAATCTACCAGGGCTGTAAAAAAAATCAAATACAAAAGTTGTTTCTAATAAAATTATCTAAAATTTTTTTCTATTGTTTTTGTTGTCACTCTACTGTATACAGGGTGGACAAATAAAATTTCATTTTTTCAAATAAAACACCCTATATTTTCATAAACTTTTACATAGCCCTTTGAAAGACAAATCCAACGATATACCGGACATGTGTCTGTGATATACCGTTTCGAACTTATCAACGATTATCTTCAGGATTTGGGGTATCTTTCAACACTCATTTTTACGTTACTCATAAAGTTTTAAAACTTTTTTTTTGCATGATATTTTTTATAAAATTATGCTTTTCTTTGGACTATATTTAAATTTGAGATATTTGTTTAAAAAACGCGGTGTCGCCACATTTCGCAAAATTTTACGCTTTTCAATTTTTTTAAATGGGACATCCTGTAAATTTTCGAGTTTTTAGATAGCCCTTCAAAAGACAAATTTAACGATATACTGGACATGGATATGTGATGCACCGTTTCGGCCTGATTGGCGTTTACCTTCAGTTCTAGCACAATATCTCATGTCATCCCTCTTGAATGAAAAAAATGTCTAATTTTGCAGTAGATTAGTTGAACTAGTGCTTTTTATGCATTATTGAACAATTTTTTATACATTAATAAAGCACGGTAATAGACGGTTGATGGAAAATAGAAATTTTGATTCAACAGGCGACTTGGACATATGAAACATTGTGCTAGAACTGAAGATAATTGCCAATCAGGCCGCAAGTGATGCACCGTCACAGACCCATTTCCAGTATATCGTTGAATTTGTCTTTTAATGGGCTATCCAAAAACTCGAAAATTGACCGGAGGTACCATTTAAAAAAATTGAAAAGCGTAACATTTTGCGAAACGTGGCAACACCGCGTTTTTTAAACAAATATTTCAAATTTCAATATAGTCTGAAGAAGAGCATTATTATATAAAAAATATCATGCAAAAAAAAGTTTTAAAAGTTTACGAGTTACGTAACAATGACTATTCAAAATTAATGAAGAATGAAAAAGTTTGTATTTCGTGCAAAATTCTTTAATAAAAATCAGTGCAAAGCGCTTTCGGCCGTGGCCATCATCAGTGCAACCTGAAAGTAAGGAAAAACACTTTCTGAAGATACTGGAAAAATTTATGAAAGTTTGGAAATTTTGGAAAATTTGAAATTTTTTGAAATTTTTTGAAAATTATCTGAAAATCTTGGAAAATTTAATCTAAATTAATTTAAAATATTCAAAAAGAAAGAAAATAATTACTAAAGAAAGTAGATTTACTCACTTCGTCAGGTTTGTACAAAGAGTCTTCTCGTTGAACATATAGGTGTAAAGGAACGAAAACATCACATTACAAATTAAAAATTAACACTTTAAAATATCGGAAGATCTTTGGTTTTTACTGGTACTCTATGCAAAGGCTGTGTCTTCTCAAATTACAATCACATCGAAAGATGTTTTTTAAGTTTAAATTTAAATTTAAATAAAAAAAACCATTAGAGGATCTTAATTAAATCAATTTATTCAATTATTTCACTTAAAAAATTTTCATCTATTTCAACTTAAACTCATTTATCCTATTTCCACTCTATGATGATATAAGGGTAGTCTACACGTTGTGGACGACTAGCTCGTCATCTACACTACAGGTCACACCACTTAGCTATGTTTTTTTCACTATAAACATATTAATTCTCCAAATATTGTTTTAAAAAACGTTGGTAATGGTTTTGGATTTTATAAACTTTTATTTTTCGAACTTCCCGCTCTTGTCAGCTACACTGACTTACTTGTCATGTGTCACTCTAAAGGGAAACCACAATTAAAAACGTGCAACCATACACAAAATGGCTGCACATCATTCATCACCATGTTGGTCTTCCACACAAAATTTAAAGAATTTTAATTTAAACTTAAAAAACATCTTTCGATGTGATTGTAATTTGAGAAGACACAGCCTTTGCATAGAGTACCAGTAAAAACCAAAGATCTTCCGATATTTTAAAGTGTTAATTTTTAATTTGTAATGTGATGTTTTCGTTCCTTTACACCTATATGTTCAACGAGTAGACTCTTTGTACAAACCTGACGAAGTGAGTAAATCTACTTTCTTTACTAATTATTTTCTTTCTTTTTGAATATTTTAAATTAATTTAGATTAAATTTTCCAAGATTTTCAGATAATTTTCAAAAAATTTCAAATTTTCCAAAATTTCCAAAAGTGTTTTTCCTTACTTTCAGGTTGCACTGATGATGGCCACGGCCGAAAGCGCTTTGCACTGATATTTATTAAAGAATTTTGCACGAAATACAAACTTTTTCATTCTTCATTACTCCTCAACGTGCACACAGCTCTACACCCTCTATTATTCAAAATTACCCTGAAGCCTGAAAATAATCGCTTATAAGTTCGAAACCGTATATCACCCTGTACATGACTGTAAGCTGTGCATTCAAACAGTTTAATTTTGTCGTATTTAGGTTTCTTATTATTCCAAATTTTTGCTGTTGTCTTGTTATCTTCCAAAGTTCTTGTATCCAATCTGTTTATAAAATAGAAACTTGCTCTAACCGCTTCTCCCACATTTCTTTATCTAATCCTTAATCGAAAGTTAAGCACCTTGCCTTTTACATCAAAGTACGGTTATACCGTTCGGCCACTCCATTTTGTTCTGAAATATACCTCATTACATATTGAATTCCAATGTCTTTTTCCTCACAATATTTCTTGAAATCTGTCGATATGTACTTCCCTCCGTTGTCACATCTCAATTTTTCAATATTCATGTTAAACCTTGCCTCTACCATCGCAACATAACTTTTAAGTTTCTCAAATGCCTCTGACTTATTAAATATGTGATACAAAAATGTGAGTAATGGTCCATAAATGTCATAAATAGTATATTACAATCCGAGACGGGAAATGCTTTATTGCTGATCGAGAGGTTATATAGTTTATCGAGACGCGTAGCATCGAGATAAACTGAACCTCGAGACAGCAATTAAGTTTCCCGTCGAGGTTTGTATACTATTTTATTTTTAACCATAATTTCTTGAGAAAAAATAAATAAATTCGTGACAACCAAATAAATGAGGTCGGGAAATGAGGACGGGAAATATTTCCCTGCTCCATTTTCCGTCCGTGGACATCTCGAGACATAAATGAAAACTTTCCTCCGAGGTTTGTATACTATTTTATTTGCAAGCACACCAATAATTAAAAATAATATCATTTTTTAATAATAAAAAAATAGAACAAACTTGCCAAAATGTGTCATTCACTCTTTGACGTTTTTACCTGACATGTTCTCATTGTTGCCAGCAAAGGTAAATAAATTACAGTGAGGGAAATCGGTGAGGGAAGTTGAATAGGGAAATCGGTGAGAGAAATCGAAGAGGGAAGTGGCACAGGTAAAGTGACACTTCCAAATTTTTAAAAAGTCAGTAATGTCAAGATTACATATATGATTGCAAATAAATATGATTTACCGCTGTTTGTAACGTAACTGGCTTTATAGGTCCACAAAGGTCAGTAGAGACTGTTTCCAAAACTTTTCTTGCCTTTCTATCTGAGGGTGTATCTTCAAATGGACACTTTGTTTGCTTTGATATTACACATACTTCCTGGTGCTGGATACTTTGCAGAGTGACCTATTTTTCTATGTTCTAACCACTTTTTCTCTTCTGTACCTAATATTGTGTTTGCACTAGCTTTTGATCTCAAGTTTAGAAGATACAAGTTTCCTGTTAATTTTCCTTCAAGCACCACTACTTTATTTTTGATTATTTGTACTTTTCCTTCTTTAAATATTACCTCATAGCCATTTTCTTCCAATTTTCGCACAGATAACAAGTTATATAACAACCCTTCACACATGATCACATCCAAACTTTTTTTAAAGTGACTTTTGTTCCATTTTCAGTTTCCAACTCAAGATTTCCTTCTATTTTTGCCTGAATATTCTGTCCTTCCACACATTAATATTCTTATTTACCACCTTCTTTTCTTATATTATCTCTGCCAACTGACTTACAACAAGATGATTAGTTACCCAACTATCTACCACAAAGCTAATTTGATCTTTACTTGTGAAAGAGGTTATCTCTGTTGATAAAAAAACAATCTCTATGTTTTGGGTATAACCACCTCTATAGCTGCCTCTAAAACCTCTATATCCTCAATGACCTCTATGAAATCCTTCTCGGTAACCACCTCCGAGTAACCTCCTCTGTTTTGAGGACATTGTGACGTCTTGTATCCGATTTCATTACAGAAATGGCGTCTAAAAGGAAACTGTTCTTTTTTTTCTGCTCTCAGTAACTACATTTGAACCTCCTCCATTGTAATATATTCCTCAAAAATTTCCTCTACATCTTAACCCAAGAGTCATATTTGGGTTGTTATAATCATTCTCTTTAGCTTTTGACTGTCTTTGTTCGTCCATTGACAACTTCCTTTTTACAAACTCAAGGCCTACAGCGGCGTGATTTTGACAAAACATAATGGGCAAGTTTTTAAATTCAACCATCTTTCCATCATTGATTTATGCGCTTTATGTCAAATGACGTCATAGATTCCGATGGATTGATCCGCTGGATGGAATTTAAAAAAACGTTTGAATGGAACTATCGCGACGGTCATGTGTCAAACAGAAAGCCGAAACCAAAACAATCAAAACATTTTTTATCTGGTTTGGTGGTTATAATATTTTTCACATTTATTTACTCTGCCGTGTAGTGCAGAACTGTGAAAAAAAATGAATTCCCTCCAGTTATGCTGTGATGGCAACTACTTTAATGTGATGGTTGACGATGAAACCTACCTGGAACTAATTAATGGTAAGCAGTTTGTTGGTACCTATTCAGGTTTAACATTCAATTTTCCTCATTTCTTTTTTAGATCCAAATAAGTTGAGCAGCTATGCCGAACAAGTTCGCGACATTATGACGAGTAATGAATCAAATATTAATTTACCAGGACCAAGTACCAGCACTAGTGATTTGACCAGTGATGAGAATTTTTCTGAGCTGATAAGGGGTGAGTAGTGGATATTTTGGTTTTTAGCTATCTAGGCTTTACATTGATTTTTTTTCCAGGGCCAAGTACTAGTACTGGGACAACCAACACTGAAAACGTTTTCAAATGGACTCAATCACTGACTCTTATGTTAATTGACCTGAGATTGAAAAAAGAAAAAGATTTTAATCGGCCAATATGTGAGAAAAAAAAGCTTTGGGAGCAAATTGCAAGTGAAATCAAAACCAAAACTGGGAAATTTGTTACCAGCGAAATGTGTGATATAAAATATCGTAACCTACTAAGTACTTATAAAATAAATAAAAAAAAAATCCCAACAAAGTGGAGAGGGGTCCATTTCATGGGAATTTTATAAAATGTTTGATGAAATATTAGGATGTAAAGCTGATATTCTGCCCCACAGGGAAGTATTAGGAAGTGTGGACAGCATAAGTGAGGCTTAACAGTGAATGAAACTGATGCGACTGAATCAGAAACTGAAGAGAAGGGGCTGAACAGGGGACCTCAACCTCTGGTTGAGAATTTAAAAAATAATAGGGAAAGAAATAAGAAACGTAAACGGTCTATTGATATTGGTGAATATTTATTTCAAAAGCAAATAGAAGATAAGGAGAAAAGGTTAGAGAAAGAAAAAGGAAAAGACGAACGCTGGAAAGAAAAGCGAACTTTCAAGGCTCGCAAGAGAAATTGAAGCTATAGAAAAATTGGCAGAGGCAATTGCCAAGCAGAAAAAAGACTAGGCATTCCAAATTAATTTTTTTAGATACCTACCTATTTGCCCATATTAGTTTTTAGAATAATCATCAATGAGTTCCTGTTTTCTTTAATGTTTAATGTTCGTTACTGTTACAGTATAGTGACACTAAAAATATTATTGAATATATATTTATTTTTTTTTATTTTTATTGCAGTTTTTTTAAATTGGTTTATCAACTTTTTAAGCTGTTTTACTTCTGCATGAAATAAAATTAAATTTGAATTTTTCAAGATACCTTTCTGAAATAAATTTAAGGCTAAGTATGATACTTTCTTTCAAGCAAAACACATGAAATTCATCTGGGAATGGAATGTTACCAATTTATTTCTAGAGCATTGGGTACACAATGTAACAGTTTAATATTATTTTCTATTTTTATAAAATCTAGGGCCAGTTTCTCAATAGCAAGTCATCCCTGGGTTGAGCATAACTCCAGGGTAAATATTGCAACTGGAAACATTTACCCTGTAGCGAGCCCTGTAGTCAAAATCAACCCAGAGGTGACTCACTATTGAGAAACCGGCCCCTATTGTAATTATCTCATTGTAAACCTTGCATAATATTTTGTCTAATCTGCTCAGCTTCATTATTAACTGGTTGTTGCATATCGATTGGATTTTCATCTTCATGCTCATCCATTTCATAGTCTTCTTCCATACCATCCTCCTGACTTTGAATAATTATGTTATGAAAAATACATGCAGTAAAGATTATAAATTTAATGTAAGATAAATTAAGTACATGAAGATATCGAAGTCTACGAAATATTCCCTTCAATCGACCAAAACTTTGTTCAATTGCCGCTCTTACACTACTTAGCCTGAAATTGAATAGTTTTTGTTGTCTGGTAAGGTGCCCATTATCTCGAAAAGGAGTCATTAAAAAAGTGCTTAGAGGGTAAGCACTGTCTCCCAATAAATAGGAATCATTTGGAAGCATTTCATCCCTATTGCATAATATTTTATTATATATGGGTGAATTTTGCCATACCCTTGAATCATGTACTGAGCCAGGCCAACCACTAAAAACATCAATAAATTCTTGTTTAGAGTTGCATATAGCTTACAACTGGATGGAATGGAAACCTTTCCTATTATAATAGGAATTATCTGCTAATGGACCTGGAATGGGAATATGAGATCCATCGATACACCCAAAAACATTTGGTAATGATGATTCTCCTCGTAATTTCTTGAAATTGTGAATATTCTTAAGTGCTTCGTTTCCAGTTGGCCATTTTATATACTTTTTCGTTTGAGCTGCAATAAGCTTACACATTTGTATAAAAATGGTATGAGCATGGCCTTTACTGAAAGAAAATCTATCACCAGCACTTCGGAAACTTTCTTGATTGGCTAATAGCCATAAAGTAAGTAGCAGGCAATCCAGTACTGGAATTTTAGGCCTTCCTCGTGTTACTTGTATATTACCAAAATTATTTTCTAGCAAAAAATTCTAAAACAAAAAAAAAATACTTAGTAATAATTATTTCAGGTATATAATTAGTTAGACGTTCACTATACATCCTTTTGTTGAATTGTCGAAGCAGGTCCACTAGTCACACTTACCTCAACAGTTCCTCTACTAAGCCTGAAATGGCTTTTGAAATCATCTAGATTATAGTTTCGCACAATCGAGTCCACATAATTTTTATTTTTAATGTGCGTTTTCCGCTTTTTTTTCATTATTATTATTATTTCCTCATCACTTTCGCTACTGCTGCTTGTATCTTGCAGTATTTTAGAAACAAGAACTAATTCCATTTTTGTATAATAATTAGTTGGATTATTAGGTATTAGAATTATAAAACTGGTAGGATAGGACTGTAAATATTATGGCAAAGCCGTAAAGGTAAACAAATCTTTACCTAACCTCAACTTTTTGTTTTTCATCATTTCCATCGAACTTTTGAACCGATGGATGCGATTAAAGTGCGCATTTTATAAAAACGCTCCGATTAGTTCCATCGCAATTCCATCGGGTCATTTAAGAACGCTTAGGTGAATTGTCGATGGATGCGCATAAGCAATTGGTGAATTTAAAAACTTGCCCAAGGTCTATGGCTGTCGTTACATTTTGGAAGGAATCTGGTAATGCTGGAAGAAGTTGTAATATAAGTTCATCTTTATTTATGCTTCCTCCTGCTGTCTTTAACTCTGGAACAATGCTGTCAAACTCCTATAGAAAAACATTCAATGGAGTTCTTGACCTTTTTTGCAACATAACTTGTGTCAATATTCTTGTATTTACCTATGTATTTTTTTAAATATAGTATATCTTTCGCTGTAGTCTTTTTTTTACTGATTCCAAAATATTATCAGATAACCAATGGATAATTATTGTTAGTAGATAGTCAAAGCGGGTCCTAGCATCAAAATCCGACCATAACCTCAATCTTTCATTCTTGACACGTGGTGGATGCGCCGCCGTTGACACGAAGGTGGATGCATCGTCGGCGCCATCTTGTCAAACGTCATGGCGCCATCTAGCGTACATAGTGTGAAGTTCGTAATACAGGATGCTGTAGTTGGGACCCGTAGGACTCCGCCCCCCAAAAAAGGGGGCCCGCAGGGCTCCGCCCCCAAAAAGGGGGCCCGCAGGGCTGCGCCCCCCAAAATGGGGCCGCGGGATTTTATTATGGGTACCAGAAAAAGGGGTGGGGGGAAATGTTTTCCCGCCATCATGTCAACCGTCACCTGTCAAACGTCATCTGTCAAACGTCACCTGTCAAACGTCATCTGTCAAACGTCATGACGTCATAGCGGGAGTTTTGAGTCGTTCCGGGTTCTGTGATGACGTCATAGCGACCTGGGTCACGTCCGTGGAGTCATTTAGAGTACATAGTGCAAAGTTGGATTCATGGTTCGGGTTCTGTGATGACGTCATAGCGACCTGGGTCACGTCCGTGGCGTCATTTAGAGTACATAGTGCAAAGTTTGATTCAGGGTTCAGGTTCTGTGATGACGTCATAGCGACCTGGGTCACGTTCGTGGCGCCATTTAGAGTACATAGTGCGAAGTTCGTTTCATGGTTCTGTGATGACGTCATAGCGACCTGGGTCACGTGGGTTACGTCAGTGCGGGTCCGTGGCGCCATTTAGAGTACATAGTGCAAAGTTCGATTCATGGTTCGGGTTCTGTGATGACGTCATAGCGACCTGGGTCACGTCCGTGGCGCCATTTAGAGTACATGTGTCAAGTTTGATGTGTCATATAACAGGATGCTGTGGTGGTGACGTAACTATGAGGGTCCAGCAGCTAGCTTCATGTTGTACCTAGTAGAGGGTGTTCGAACTTAAGGATGATACACACCTACAGTATTGCTCATTGACCTCGTGTGTTACCATTTACGACGCCATAACTAAGTCATCAGCTGTTTAAACAACCTACGTCAAGGCGAGAAATAACATGCTGCTTACGTCACAACTGGTGATTTAACGTTGGGGAGAGAGTGGATTTGTTCCACACAGGCCTTATGAGGATAGGCTATCCTGTAGTAGTAGTGTGTATTATCCTTGGTTGGAACCAACGTTTGATGGGAAAGGGGCCTCGTTTTTTTTTTATTAAAAACATAAATTTTTTAAGACAACGATTTCAAAAAGCGAATATTTTCCATCAATAAACTGCTTAATATGATCCAATCATTTTGGTGGTACGTCTTGGGAGCAACACTGCGTTATCGTCAAATTCGACGAGTATTTCAAATCCATAGCTAAAAATATGCCACAATTGTATCGATTACCTAAGTATATAAGATATTTACTTACTAGGTTAAAATAATAATTTCTGTACAATAGTTTTATGATCTACCTTAATTTGTATAGTTTATTGGTTCCAGTAAAGATTTGCAATTATTTTGAGGTCTCTATCGTAGAAAATATTGGGAACTTTCACTTTATACCAGGTCTTATAATTTTCTCAGTGTTTTTGATCCTTTGTTATAAAAAGACAGGTCTTGTTGATTGATTTCAAATCCATATCTAAAATATTCATAATTGTATCGATATCAGTATATAAGATATTCACTTACTTGGTTAAAATGATAATTGTTGTGCAATAATTTTATTGTTGTTGACGAGTCTCAAACAAGACTGAAAGAGCTTAATTATTATAAAATCCGATTCAAACTTCGAATTAACAACATAACATACAAAAAACGCTGTCAAAATATTGGGAATTTCACTTTCTATGAGGCTTCAGGTCTTGTAATTTTCTCAGTGTTTTCAATCCTTTGCTAGGAAAAGACAGGTCTTGTTGTTGATTGATATTAGTATATAAGATATTTACTTACTTGGTTAAAATCAAATTAATTGTTGTGCAATAATTTTATATTTTTCACTGGTGACGAGTTTGAGCAAACTGAAAGAAGCTTGTTATTATAAAATCCGATTTAAACTTCGAAAACTTTGATATCACATACAAAAGCACCGTCAAATGTAAACGCTTATTCGGCAGTTTTTTTATCTGAATTATATCAGGACCGTTCGCAGAAATCGCCCGAGAAAAACAACAACACATTTTAAAGATAATTTTTTAGTTTAAGGCGTAATTATTAAGTTAGATATTAATATGTCCATTTTTATTTTAAAAAAGGTGACAAATTCAATCGATTTATCAAAATTTAAAAGAATAGATTTAAATTAGCATCGTTGACATTTTATTAGCCAATAACCCTATGCAATACAAAATTTCAGTGGATACATTGTTACCTGTAAAAGATGAGGATTCAATTTTTATTCTTTGTACAAAAAACGCAGCATCCAGTACCAGTACTTTGAACCTGGATTTTCAAAGTTTAGTTTCTTGTGCGATAAGTGTCGGTTTCGAAAAACTGTAAGTACTATTTTTAAATATCTAAGTGA